TATATAAGAGGTGAATAGTGGTTTAAATACCAGTTTAGGACGACACGTAGAGCACGATAAAGTTTAAATTTCAGATGCAGGACGAAGTGGCGTAGGGTGTGGTTCATCGACATGTTTAGCCATTGTAGATGATATGAAATCACAGAAAATAGAGTTGGAGAGAGATTTGACAGTGTGGAAAACGAGGTCATCAAAGAAAAGCCATCTTAGATCTTGTTTTTATAAGATAAGTATTCATTTGAGAATACAATTGATCAGTTTTTGAATAAGTAATAAATTAGTGATAACAAGGTTTGTAATAGAGAGAATTTGAAAACAAATACATGATTGTATTAAATTAAGAGATTCGTTAATTCTAGTCAGTATATGATAATTGAAGTTATTTCCAGAAATAGATAATTTGTTTTGTAGAAAGATGGATTTGTTAAAGGAAGAAAACTGGTGTTTCTGAAAAGCAAATCAAATACGTTACGTTAATTTATTTTATTTTTCAATTAATACAAGTATAGAATTTATGATATTATATTTGCACTTATATCCAATTAAATATATTTGCTTATCATTTTAAAACGTACTAAATGCATCAACATTATAACTTGGACATTTCCTGAGTATAGAAAATATCGATAAATTAAAATTGTTTGAATTTATTTTTCAGTTTCAGTTTCTTGCCATTTTGTCAAATGTGCTACTAAAATGAAAAGTTTTAGATATGTTGAAGAGAAAACAGTATATTCTTATGTTTCAGGTGGTTACATGTTGGGGTTGGTATCACGATGAGTATAATGAAGAAGGTGATTTTAAGATCTCCAGAGAAGTACGGTAGATTTTTTCTTTGCGTTCTATGCCAATTGAAAGTTAAATTCAATGCGGACTCCATCACAATGGAAAAGAGAAGCATTTCATATTCTGAACTTTGAGTATAATAATTCGTTTTTCGATTTATTTCAGTAGATCATTCAATCATGAATCCTTATAGTAGAGTATGGGGCATAGATAATTTTTGTTTGGTATCTTTTAACCAAGTATATGTATTAATGATATATAAATTTTATAGAAGAAAACGAGTTCTACTTGTCTTATGATTAATGCAGGACAGGTACGGCTTTGCGAAAGAGAATTAAAGATTTAGAATATTTGCATTTTGATTTTCATTGTAGTTAAACTAAGGTCTCATTTGAATTATCTACTTAGAATTGAAATTTATCAATTGAGTATTAATTTAAAAAAAAAAAAAAGATCTAGATGGTATAAAATATTTATAGGAATGATAATTCTGCAGTATTTGCAGTGTTGTTAATTGGCTTGATTGAGTTATCTAGAAAAAGAGATCTAAGTATTTAGTTTCAATTCTAAAAAGTTTTGATAACAGAAACTGAATTTTTGTCGGTTTTGATTTTCGAGTAAAAAGGAAATTTTGTCAATGAATTCTAATTTTAAAAATGATTCGCCAAAATTGAATTAAATTTTTTCTGAATATTAATTTCATGAGCTGTTTTGCACAATTTTCGTGTTTGGTAGTGTTTGGAAGATTTGAATTTTGATAACGTTGATATATTTCATTTTATAATGAAATAATTTAATGAATGTTTATTAATTGGCAACAATTTTTGGAGTATTTACTTTTATTGAAATTAGTTTTCAGTGGAAAGTGATTTTTTTAATACTGTAGCTATTTAAAAGCTGTTATTTTTTAATTTAAAAAAACAAAAATAGAATTTGAGGGGAATTCCAACTCTAACCCAGCTTAGCATAAAATATTTTATGGATGTTTATCATAACGCATCTGTGGTGTTTGGTTTTTGGCGGGATTGATTTCAGTAGACAATGAGAAGTACAAAAATAGTCAAATGAAAATTAATATTTCTGTTTGAAAGAGATATTGAGTTGGGTTTGAATTTGAATAACTTTGGCACAATTTAGCATATCATGCTTTTATGAATGTTTTCCAACCACTTATATGGCATTGTCATTTGGCAATTTATTAAAGATTGTTTTCATTATATTGCTGATACTATGAAATAGAAATTGATTGGATTCGAATGCTTTGCACATTTTATCATAAAATGATGTTATATTATAGATGTTTATCCAACTACATTTGTGGTGTTGCCATTTGGCGAGTTGGTTAAAGTAGAAAGTGGGTTCTTTATCATACGAGTTTGAATTTATGGATGTTTGTCCATGACCACATATGTGATGAAGCCATTTAGTAAGACTGGTTTCTGTAGAAAGTGTTTCTTGGTATATATTAAAGTAAAAGTTTATAATTTTCATGAAATCAAAGAAAATTTTATTAAATCTTGAAGTATTTTGATAAATTTTTCACATAGTATGAATTTATGGATGTTTTTTGAACCGTATTGTGGTGATGCCATTTGGCGAGTTGGTTAAAGTAGAAAGTATTTCTACATATAAAGTACAGTAAAAGTTGATAATTCTGATGAAAATAAAGTAAAATTTGATTGAAATTTGAACTTTTTGATAAATTATATCATAAAATGAATGTATGGATTTGTATCCAACCACATTTGTGGTGATGCCATTTGGCGAGATTTGTTTGTGTAGAAAGTATTTCTACATAAGTAGTAAAAGTAAAGGTTGATAATTCTAATGAAAATAAAGTAAAATTTTATTGGAATTTGAACTTTTTGATAAATTATATCATAAAATGATTTTATGGATGTTTATCCAACCACATTTGTTTTGATGCCATTTCGAGATTGTTTTCAGTAGGAAGTATTTCTACAAATAGTAAAGTAAATGTTGATTATTCTGATGAAAATAAGGTTATCATAACTTGATTATCAAATGGATGTTTATACAAACACATTCATATTTTTCTTAATTTAAAAAAAAAAATGATTAGTGCAATTCATAAATTTTGAACTTAATGGTGGAATTTTGATTCATTTTATCATTTAATGATAGTATGCATATTTTGCTAGCCACAATGATGATGACTTTGATTTTTTTTTTAATATAGATTAAGAGAGAGAGAAAAAGAGATCCTATACATATTTACTAAAATATCAGAGTTACAAGATATATGTATCTATCAGTTTTCTAACATCAAATTTGTTCTTTCAGGTATTATTGGTTATATTCTTCTTACGTTTAATTCAAGCACCATGAGGTATTAATCGGTGTACCAATAATGACAGAGTTTCAAAGAGGCACATGTGTTACTTCCAAGGAATTGAGATGGGATTCAAGATATTTCACAGGAATGTGTATTTTGTGCTATTTTGATATTGGATGATGAATATACTTCTATGTATAACTGTGTCGAATTCATTTGATATATTTGAAGCCTTCTTCCCTGGGACTTCACCATAAATCGTATGGTATGCGTTGAATTTGACTTCAAACTATACTCAAAACTCAAGTGCAGCAAGCATTTATCGATGTATGGATAGGATGTGTGCATAACATCAAGACTTTTACAATCAGACTCACATGGTGAATTACATTATGGATGTTCAAAAGACGGCGGTGTATTGAATTTTTTTTTTCGGATGGATATACATGTATTGATATTTTCCCGCGTTTCGCTAGTATAGCGGGAAAATGTTGTATTAATGACAAGATGTTTATACGCATGTTGTGTGGATTGGTCAGAAAATGACCAATAGAAATTGATTTTGAGGTGTAGTAGAGAACTGGTTTTTAAAGGTTGGTCACTTCGACTTAAGCGAGCAACAGCTAAATTTTTTTAATTTATGTATAAAGGGTATAAGTGAATATATTTATATACATATATTTGATTTTTTTCTTCTTAGGGTTTTATTGGTAGGTTGTGAGGTCCGTCGCAACATTTTTTGCATCCAGCGGCACTTGGCAACGGACACAGGTTTCTAGAGTTTTTTAAAAATTATTTTTATCTCTAGTTTTTCCTGGCCGGCCCTGATGCTTTTCATGTTTATCACAAAGAATATTTTAGAATTATAATAGATGCAGCAGTTTTGGGGGATTTTGATGTTTTTATTTCTCATACACAATGTTCTGTGTTATATATATGTATATTGATGTACTGTTAATAAAATACGGCGTCCAGCGCACGCACGGCTGGCTGTCATGCATAGAATGTTGTTGTTTGTTTGTATAAAAGTAATGGAGTGAATACATGTATTTTTTTTGGTGATTATTTAATTGTTTTCAAAACATTTTATTGGAAAATTTCTGTAAAATTTTATGTATTTATTGTTTGAAATATTGAATGACTTATGATTTAAATGAATTTTGTTGGATTGAATTTAAAATCAATGATTTTACACTTTCATTTTCCCGTTCTTTGTATTTAGAGCTACTGCGTGTCGTTGCTATGTCCAAATGGTGTGTTTGTTGTTTATTGTACTTTCATTTGAAAGTAATGAATGGATTTAGAGTAGAAATATGATTTCTTTCGTTTGAGGAACGAATTAGACAGAAATCAATTTCTACTTGGTGTGATAATGAATTACTTTTTCGGAATTACAAGGTTTTCATTCGAATACCTGGTGTATATCACGTGGTTCTTTAGAACCGGTCTCGTTAGCAAGGCTATATAAGAGGTGAATAGTGGTTTAAATACCAGTTTAGGACGACACGTAGAGCACGATAAAGTTTAAATTTTATCATGATTTATTCAATCCAACATAAACTTGTATATACAAATTGATTTTCATATTTTGCATATGTTATGTACACTGCACAAATAAAGCTACTGCGTGTCGTTGCTATGTCCAAATGGTGTGTTTGTTGTATTGTACTTTCATTTGAAAGTAATGAATGGATTTAGAGTAGAATTAAGTTTTATGTGATCTTTATACATCTGACGCTTTTAAAAACAGAAAACTATTACGCTTACATGAGAAATAGTCAATACCCGTGTTACATATGAAAAAGACTTAGAGGACTGAACGTAAGTAGAATTGCAGAAGAAGAAGAGCGTTATTACATTCTAATGATACACGTATATTAATAGAAGAGCGGAGATTAAAATCAACAAAACTTCACAATAATATTCTACGAGTTTAACTTTAGATAAAATAACAAGGTAAGCTTATATGAATATAGCAACACATTTACTTTCTTACGTATTTTATGTATAACAATAACTTAAAATTGTTTATAAGTATTAGCATGTTTGACATATTTCCTTCTTCGCCACACACCAACATCCACCATGGTAACAAAACGAATGTGTTTACACGTGCATTCCTTCATCTCATGACCACTCCATTACACATGTATTCATTGTTACACTCCACACATACACGGACTCAGCTGAGGTATTCTAGACTGGCCTTAGCTTTCTCCATTTCGTGTAAAAAAGAGTAAAACTGGGGCAAGGTGAGCTCTATAAATTGAGAAAACATTCAGCTTATTCAGACTTCTTTCGAGAAAGATCGATTTACATTGTACCTGTAGACATTGTAAATATAGTTATTGGGTTATCACTTTACATACCCATATAAGTATTCCTTATCCCATTTCCTGTGTTGATGACTAACTTCACCTGTGTCAGAACAATATATTTTTCAAATTAGCAATAAATTAATACTTGTTAAAATGCCTATCCCCTTCATATTTTAAAATATTACTTGAAGCAACACTGGTTTGGATTTCAAACTGAAATAAAAGATTGATTGATTGATTGTATATTGTATATTGGTTAACGTCCCTCTCGAGAATTTTTCACTCATATGGAAACGCCACCACTTGCCGCAAGAGCTGCAAATTTTGTCCTATACTCGGCACTCAAGAGCCATTTTCGTGTCAGCAACTACTGCAACAAGGGACCTCGGTTTATACGGTCTCATCCGAAGGATCGAAAACTGGAATCTTCAATACGAAATGGATTACATAATTAGATAAAAGTCATACTAAAATTCAAGAGTTTCTGTGGAAATAATCTCTGTGCTTTTTGGAGGGATAATATCTCCAATAAGGTTGAGCAAAATTTCAAAAATTAATGCTATATGGCTAGATCTTGTCATCCTGATAACTAGCATTTCCCTTTCAAAAGTTTTGCATATCTGCATTGATGTCTAAATAAACCAAAAAATGCACAACACCCCTATGATCTATGAAAAGTAATAATAACGTGTTTGATTGGATAAAATGAAATAAAGACTTGCCCAACAATTTTTCTAAAGAGTCTCTGAAAAACCTGCGATCAGCTTTACATGGAAGAGGAGAAAATTGAAAGTGTTTTATAATAATGAATGTAGATGATGACATTGAATAGGCTTCTTTAACTTAATCGTCCAGCGGGTGAGAATTTGTTAAATGTGTAGTTGAAAACATTTTAAAGTTATAGACAGGCTTAAAACAGTAAAAATGGGAGAGGTCTAAAATGGACTGAGTCTGCTGCCCAATCCCATCCACAATAACATCGGTGAAAACAATATTGTTTAAGTTAAAAGAAACTGTGAAATATATGTATGAGGTAAAAAACCTTAAAAAGGTGAAAGACACTTTCCTAAATGCAGCTGTAAAAATTTACACTGAATCATATAATTTTACAATAAGAACATCATGGTGTTACACACGTACACACTTCTTGTACTGTAAAAATTATGCTGAAATTAGAACCGAATTATTCCACACTGTACAAAGTAACAACGGAGCAATAGACCTTGACATTATCTTATTTGGGGACCCAAATTTAGGTCAACAAAATAATATCAATATTGTTAAAGCTGTATATAAATATATTAAAAAATCAAAAAGACTTTATGAATAACCAGCGTAACCATTCTGTATCTTTTACAACCCCTCCTTCTTTCTTCTCTCGTTGCACTCCCATTCCCCTCCTTTATTATCTCTCTACACCCTCTTCCTTCTTCTTCTTTTTTTATTATTGTATATTCGTTGCTTCTACATCACGTGTATCTAATTTTGATATTTTGTTTGTGTTGGAGAGGACATTCTAAATTGGTATAACTGGTGTCCAGTCCCTTTGACTGTGTTCAATAAAATATGTTTAAATCATACACACGTAGAGGCAAATGTAACAAGTCCTTTTTACGTAATTACCCACCTATCACAACGTGTAATTTATACAGGTGTGTGTATGTGACGCTATAATTAGGCGTCTCATAAGAACATTACATCAGAATCCAAACGTCAACAGATGGAGTAGTTTGTCAAATAATCAAACAATAAATTAAATCAAAGCAGACAAAAACATTTAAAATCTTAGCAAATTTTCAACAATTTTGAAAACAAATGAATACGACTGACGTGTGAATAATTATATGTTGTTATATTGCACCTGTGTAATTAGAACTTGAATCAATAGCTAGTCAGTTGATGACTCTTTGAAAAGACATCAAAAGGTCAAAAGTCTGGAAGAGTACTTTTGCGGTTGCTTTAAAATGGTTGCAAAACCATCTTATGATTTCTTTACTGACATGCTTTTTAAAAAAAAATGTCTTCAGTAGCGTTTCGACCTCCAAATAAGTGAAAGATTCCCAGAGGTTCGTTAAATACAAAGAAGATGGGAGGATAAGGCGGGCAGAATGCCCATAGCGCGACAGATAAGAAGTGAAAATTTTAATCTCAATTATATCCAAATTTTATTTCATATTTCATCTAATATTAAAGTATACTTAACGTAAAGTCTCTATAATTTACAAAAATCTCACAAAGACTGAAAATATTTGCCAACGGAAAAAGCATACACAGACTTAAAAGAACAAAAACGATCAGTTTTTCATACTTTAACAAACTTTTTCAATATGAGTGGGTCTTCGCTCCATTTTTTTGAAAGATAATCCTAAAAGTTTGCGATAAAATAAATATTTTTTGGTTTACAAAAAAAATGGAGCGAAGACCCACTATACCTTAAAAGTACACTTTTATGACAAAACATTCTCATCTTTCCGAGAAATACTTCAAGTCCATTAAGTCAAGGGTCATATCACAAACATGATTTAAATGCCCCTAATCATCATCACGACCCATGTAGCATAGTAGTTAGCACGTTAGTCTCTAAGCAGTATGATACTTCGGTATTTTATTGCTGGGGTTCGAATCCCACGTATACCATCTAATATTTTTTATATATGAAATTTTATAAAGAGATTTATTTTCTCTCAGAAAATGTTTTTTTTTTCTCATAATTTCATAAATTTCAATAATGAGAGGTAAATTTAAATACTCAATTTACATATCAAGTGTGATTTCTTAATATGTGATGCTATAGACATTCTGCCCGCCTTATCCCCCCATCTTCACATCAACATTACAAATATATTTGCCTTCATAGAAAGGTACATACAGTTTTTTTTAACTTATTTTTAAAAATTATTTAAAACGCTCTTTACGCAACTGGACCCACGTTTCCAATCATTATTGAAACCCTGGAACACCTGTACCCATAAATTAGACTGTGCTTCCTTATATACTGGATCTAAAAATTTAACTTAATTATATATGAAAGACAGACACAGAAAAATAATTGATTTCGAGTACTGAGTATATTTCTGTTCATGTACACAAAGGGGTCCAAGAACGGTTGTTATTTTTAGACCATCTTCCTCAGAGACTAAATTGAGTACTTATCGTACTTTGTAGTATTTTGCTGACGTATTTCATACCAACTATTAGGCCTAATTTTTCATACTAGATATGACTACGAAATATCTAGTTTATCTTATCAATTTATAGGAATCACGGCAGGAGTGACGGTCTAAAAAGTATGCTTACTTCTCTTACGCACTTGAACCCACATTTTAAATTTTAAGAAATTTGTCTTTTATACAATGTTCGCAAACTTTAAACTGGAAATATTACCTGGATTATCAGAATGGGGAAAACAAGGAGAAAAGTACGAAATTGAGGGGATTCTGAAGTGTACATGTACGAGGGTTGATCCAAAAGTAATGTCACAGTGTCAATATCTTTTATATTTGGCGTCATATTATCAAATACAATATACCAAGAGATGCACAAATATAAATCTAATTAATATTGAAATTTTAATTTAATAATGTTAATTTGAATTTATTTTATAGATATTTAAAACATAGAGCATAGGGGGTGTCGCCGCGTCATAACGGAACGTCACATCTTAAAGTGTATTTTTTCTAAGAATAAAAACGACAAACATATTAAAAAGATTTTAAAGAAGCACCTTATCTCCCAATTTTTTTAAAGACACAATTCTTGTCATTTTCTAGTCTTGAATTGAAAATTAAATGACGGCATTGGTATTTTTTATCATAAACATTGTTGTTTTACTCTACTGAATTGAGCAAAGGGATTGTCGAAGTGGGGGGAAAAAGGCTCGACGAGTTGTAATGCATTTTTCCTTCAAAATATGGGAATCATCACTAGCGACATTTTCGTTAATCAGTCAGACTTACAGAATAAAGAATGTAAATAAGAGACATCTTGATAGATAGTTTCAGCAATTTTGGGCGGGTGATTGGTCACTGAATGAATAGCAGAGGACAAAAAGACCGAAAGAAAGGAGATCGGACGGAAACGTTAAGTGGTGTCTGACGTTGTGAAAAAAGACAGACGTATAGAGGGACATGTGAATTTTTAAGTTTATCTTATGCTACTGTTCAAAAAAGTTTGAGATAGGGATTAATTATGAAAAGAGTTAGTGTATAATAGTACCAAGAATTCTTAAAGAAAGTGGAATTGATGAAAGTGTTTGCGAATCACAAATATTTTTTAATGAAAGGAAGGGGAAACGCTTAAAAGTATGACGGTGTGTATCCGTCATATGAAACGCTTAAAAGTATGACGGTGTGTATCCGTCATATGACGTTATATTTAGGTGCGGCGACTACCATAAACGCGCATTGTTTAAAATCCGATATTTTGAAAAGTATACATCATATTCCTTTGAATTTTTCAGGTCTGATTTGAAATAAATAAAGCTTCATTTATCTTTAATTATTTGCTTTACGTCGATTTATAGCAATTTTATCAAAGTTGTGACATTACTTTTGGATCAACCCTCGTATCTACTTTATCTTCGTTAAGCTATTTCATAATCATGTTCTACTTTGAGCTCTCTTACAATTATATTTACTTCCTCCAAGAACACCTCTTTATCCAACTTCTCAACATTAGAAAAGTGTTGCATATAGGTGTACATGTATCTTTTTAAAGTATTTTATCAATATTCAATTGAAATTACATTGAAGAAATATTTATTTTAGTTGACAACATATTTATCGTTTTGATCTAGTTGAAATTGGACTATAACTACCAGATAGCCTACTGACTTTGCCTCAATGGATTCGACAAATTCAGGCTTAGACTGAGACATTTATAACATTTCTTCTACCCATGCAGTGGTGACTCTTTATCATGACCATCAACATTATAACCTACCAGAAGGCATGACAAGTGTTTTAACGTCTCTTCCAGGAGACTCGTGATGGATATGTGGAATTACATGTATTAATTAACTGGCTCATACATGATATATAGTACAAAAATATACAGCGTTGGCATAAATATACAGTATCTTGATTTTTTTCTTTACCTGCAAAAATGTGTTTCCCACTTTATCAACCTCACTGCTAGCTGCTGTCACTGAAATGTACATAATTAACAACTGATTAACGACCACCACTAAATGTATTACAGTGTACTGAGTTATTGAAAATATGCTTTTTCTGCAGGCAAGATCTTTGATTCACTAAATAGATGTATATATAGATATTTTTTTCTAAAAATTTTATTTTTATGTAACAATATATCTAAAGGGACCAAGTCCCAATTGAAAACTGGCATTATAATTCCAAAATTTACATGTACTTGGCTTCCAACATTAATGCTGTTTTATAAAGATTTTTATAGATCAATTTCCTTGTTTGACTGATGAAGAGTCTAAATCATTCAAAAGTCCTTTAGGCCATTTACACACAGATGCACAGCGGGCTTTTGGCATATTTTCAGTTTCTTCTAGCATTTTCAGAGTTTATTCTGCAGTCTTCCGGAGAACAACACAAAATTGTCTTATTAACTGCTGCTCCGTGATGTTCCAAGACATCACCTTTTTTAATTTTTAAATGAGAACTACCTACTTTCTGAAATTAATTTCTTTTCCACGAAACAAACTAACCCTTTGGAATAAGAAATGATGTAACACTTCTCAATTTAAATGTCTAGACTTTTTATTCCGAATTTGCTCCTTTTTTAAACGATATGACAACGGACATTATTTTGGGTATTATTTGTAAATTAAAAAAAAAGCATATTGAACTGCACCGGGACCCACTTTTGCAATTTTTAACTCTCAATAATTTTGAAATAAATCATATCTATAAAGTTTATAATAAAATCATTTGGAATTATTGAAAACACATTTCAAGCAAATATCTGGATATGATTTAAAGTTAAGTTAAAAAACATATGACAAAAGCCCACCAACTTTATATAAGCAACCCTCCTATGTTATTTGAATTAGCTTAGATGAACCAAACAAAATTTGATAATGATAAGTATATAGTTTTTAAAAAGTTAACAGTAGTAAATGCTTTGAGTTACTATGAACTTTTACTTTTTAGTGTCATTTTAAATTTCAAAGTTTCTTAAATGTTATAACAGTGATGTTAAGTTTGTATACATGTACAATATTTTAATGTAATTTAAGTAGTATTTAAGAAATAAAGTTTGCTTTACCGAGAATTTTGCAGGATAACCTCAGAGGTCAAGAAATATAGTCTGAAATATAAAAGCCGAGGAGTTTACTTAGCCGAAGCTTTTATATTTTGTACGTACATTTCGAGACCAAGGAGATAATCCTGTCTCATTCATGACAACAATGACTTTATTTCTATTCCATTTATTTCATATCTACAGGTTTGACATGTGTTTCTGGTCTGATAATATTTCTATGACGTTCGTGATTTATTGAAGAATATTCGCATTTCCAATGCTTTTGTCGGAGATAAAATTACGAATAGTTAATGTGCTTTATTTCTACATAATTGTACTGGTTCATAATTGGCACGTTAAATAATATCATGTCCAGGGCTGGACAAACAGAGACGAGAGCAAGGTTTGTAGCACATGTATTAGTGGAATCAAGAACATGTAAATACTGTCTAATTTTTTTTGATTTCATAACGTTGATCAATCGATTGGCTTGCGTGATAATTTTTATGCAAATTGTCATGCAAGCCACTTGATTGACCACATCATGAATTAAAAAAATCCAGACAGTTTTCCTTAAACAATGTCTGCAGCATTTCTTTTATCTCGCCAATAACTGTGGTAGAATTTCGTTTATTAAAAAAAATATATGCATGAAACTGTATGAATTATAGATCATAAAGTATAGCAATCTGAAATTCACAGTTGAAATACTTTGATATTTGATATAGTGAACCCTTTGATTTAATAAAAGTAAAAAACTTTGACACAAATAAGATGTTAGATGAACATAGTAAACTATATGCAGTAGTTAGCTATTACATGTAATAGTATATTTTGTTAGGGTATGGTTTTTTACTGACCTCCGAATTTCCATTCCATGTCCACCAGTTGATTGACCATTAGAGTTTGTCCAAGGGCACTCTTAGACAGGGCAGCTAAATTACTGGTCCACTACAAAGACCAGAATTCTCTGACAAGACTGTAACTCTACTGGTTTGTATTTGTTACAGAGGAAGAGATGATTTTTTTGCACCACAAGCACAGTGTATGCAAAAGCAATTAATGGAATAATCGTCCTTGTTTTATTGCTTTGTTACAAGATTTATTGCAATCAGATTAGAACTGTTGGAGGAGTAATTTCTTGAGAAAAAGTAACACAATTTTCCATTTTTTAGTGATCATGGCAACACTGTTCATCAAATTCAAAAGCCAATTGAAAGCAAAAAAGTATGCATTAAAGTGTAGACTACTTGTTGGCCATCTATGTTGGCATCAAATGAAAAATACGAGCATTTCAAAGGAATTTCATAGAAATTTCTATTTTTAGTAACAATAAAAATATTGTTCATCAAAATAAAACATAAATGCATTATTTTATGTATCATAGTGTTGTCTACTTGTGTGCGAAGTTATACTGAAATCGAACAAATATTGTTGGTAGGAGCAGTAAGGTTTCAAGGGAATTTCACATAAATTTCTATTTTTAGTAACCATGGCAACAACATTGATCAACATCAAAAACTCTAAATTATGTATCTTAGTGTATTCTACGTATGTGCCAAGTTTGATTGAATTCAGAACAAAACTGTAGTAGTAGTGTTTTGGAAAAATTGTTTGAAGACAGATGGACGGATGACGAACACCTTACCATTGAATTATCTCTTCTGGTCTCTGACCAGAAAAAACAGACAGGCATTATTGCTATTACATTATAGAAAAAAACCATACTGAAATGCATCCACCCTACCTTACAAAAATATCTTCAAAAAATCAAAAGAATCAAAGAAATTAACAAGCTAAGCCAAAAGAGCTTTAAAGTGATGCTCTGGCCATAATATCTCTTTTTTTTTTACATTAAAACCCTGTAGGGGCCATATTTACATGTATTAGTGAACAAAAGACCAACTGGTCTGAGGACCAAGTTTTAAACATATCTGACTCTAGACCTTTTATTTATTTTTTGGTCAGCAATTCTTGAAAAGACTTGTAATAAAAATGATATGATAATCACACATTATATTTCTGAATACTTTTCCCTTGAAATATATTGTTTATTTCAGCAAATCAGAATTCCATTCACCCAAGAAAAATTTGTTCCAAATTTGGTTAAATCTGCCCAATAATTTTGGAAAAATTTGAAATTTTAAAAGTTATAACACAATACATGGCAGACAAGCAGACTCCAGACAACCTTTGATAAAGTCACATGAGACTTTTGCAAAGGTTAGTTAAATATCAAATTATAAAAAGTATCAGTTTTAATACAAAAGATACACGTCACTGACAATAAGATTATAAGATTTTTAATTGAAATAATGATTTTTCTGGTGATAATATATTTCCCTCTATAAGTCCACATGTACGCTTTATTGAAGCATATGTTTTGGAAACATACTGTTAATGATAAAAATCATATAAATTAATTCTTACTTGTTGTGAAAAGTATTCAGATTTGTCCTCTGCTAAACCTATAACGAATATACAAAAGTAATTATATATGGCAGCAAATGACAGACTACCTATACCCATCTTACCTTTTGTTTAATGACATTTATAGACAGATTGATTGTTTAAATAACAATATAATTTAATTCAATAATAAAGTGCCCTACCACAGCATTAAATACAACTTTCAAATATTGTTCAATTATTTTTTTAATAGCAGATAAGAGTACAAGAAAGAAAAATCTTGTACAAAAATTTCAATGGTTTTTCCAAGCCTTATGTTGGACAATGCCTCTCATACATTGTAATAATGAATTTAAAAAAATAATTAATCAAGAGATTTACAAAAGCCTATCTGCTGTTTTGCCTATTGTTTTTAAGAAGAAAGACTAATTCTACAGCCAAGAAAACATCAAAACAATTCTGTTTATGTAAAAATATTAACATATAAGAAGAACGACATGACACTGATATTTATTGTTGACAGAGATATTGAAATGAAAATATCACATAATACATTATTATTTTAATTTCATGAGATTGATACCAAAAATGAATTTAAAAAAAAAATCGCTAGTCAATATTGAATCAGAGCTATTCATAATTTAAAGACCATATCAATTGCAATTAAGAGGCCTGATATCTTTGTTCAGTTCCCAAGAAACAAAGATACATGTAACCGCTGCTTGATTGGAGATGTGACTTCAAAAAAATCTTCTTACACTCGACTCTTCTATAAATTTCTGATTGATTAGCTAGATGACATTATCAAAATGCTTCTTGAAACACCATAATTTGGTTACTACACATGTACATCCAAGAGGTGAGTGGATTTTTTCCTTGTCATTGACACAAATGAAGTACTCTGAGCAATGAGCTCACTAAATGATACTCTCCGCCTCCCATATGAATATAATGGAAATGTCCAATTTTGCTATGGGAAACCCAAAATATGTGTCAGATCAAAAAGTAAAATAGGTGTACAATGGCAATATGTAATAAATATTCTGTAAAAGTCTCATCAAATTTCATTCAGTGGTATGAGAGAAGTATGGATAAGAGATGGGAACCCCAAAGTGTAACAGACAGACGACGTACAGACAGATGGACGGACGGACATCCTGATTACTATATACCCACCAGCTTTTCAAGTGAGGGTATAATAAAAAGATTGACATTTTTTTTTCATTTATTAATTTTTAATAAGCTGAGGGTACTGCATACAATGGCAACTTAAAAACATATATTTTTAATATGTCTATATAATCAAACATCTTCCAACAACTACTTGGCTAAAGAAACATGGCATATTGTATTTGGAAATAAAAATTAAAGATCCATTTATTTTTTCTTTAATCTATGTCTCTAACCAGGGACCTATATACTATATACTGTTAGTATATAGGTCCCTGCTTTAAAATTGTCAAAGCTATATGTGCATATTTACTTATAGCTGCAGATCTGTAGCTCTCCGAAAAAATATATATTGATAGACCAGAGAGCTACAGAGCCACCCATTGAAAAAACTGTATATTTATTGCGCACAAAAAAAATGCGCTCGGTTCTCGATTTATTTCGCCATGTTTTTAAACCTGTAATCTCAAAATATTACTAACCGTGTGTTCCTAACATATTCTTTGACTCTTTCCACAACAAAACATTCCTCATAATTGTTGTTAATAGTCCTCCTGCCCTGATATTGCAATCATCGAACATTTTGCTTATTTATACTGCCATTTTGGTTTCAAAGATAATTCGGTCCAATATGCTTCGTTCAAATGTCAACTACGAGAGAACTTGATAGAGGAGAGAGGAAATTTTTGAAATCTTCCATTTTTTGCAATTGAGGTAAGAATTTGGAAGAATTAATCAAGAATCGAGCGCACTTTTTTGTGCGCAATAAATATACAGTTTTTTCAATGGGTGGCACTGTAGCTCTCCGGTCTATCAATTTTTTTTTTGGAGAGCTACAGATCTGCAGCTAATTTACTTATCACATTTTCGACAATGACCTTTTCAAATCTTTAGCTGCATGGCCAATTATATTCAAAGGAAAAATGGTATTCTCATTTATATTGTAACTCAAAGGCAAAAGGAAAATCAAAAACATTGTGAAAATCAGAAAATGTAGCATTTTCTAGTTGGATGTGGAATTCATTTTAATAACAAGAGACCTAATGAGAAAATATAAAATAAAACTATGCCAAAAGATTTGTGACTCCTGCAATCAATTACTTTGGCCTGGTTCACTACAACAATTGCAATGTATAAAATGTGGCTTGCAAATTATATGCCACAAAAAGTTATGTGTCTTGCACAATCAACTAAACTGACTTGAATTGAGACAAAAAGAAAAGAAGTTGTACTCAGTTTGTTGCTATAACATTGCCAAGATTTATCAATTTGATTTATAGCCTAGACATTAAGCTTCTCCAAGAATCTTTATTTATTCATTTATCACTGTAGCAAAATTCAGATGGTATGAAAATGGGATTTTTTTCTCAATAATTTGAGATAATTTTCTTTAATATACATTTCAGCAATATTAAATTGGAAACTTAATTGTTTTATCTTATTTTAGTTCAATAAAAAAAATGCCTGAATAGAGATACCTGAGAAGGACTTACTGTCCTTCGACCTTGTCAAAATTTAAAAACAAGAGGCCCACATCGCTCACCCGAGCATTGTGGCTAGGAAAAAGTAGTAATTGGTTTACTATTGAAGAGTTTAAATCCAAAAGTTTGGCCCCGCCCTACCCCCGGGGGTCATGATTTGAACAAACTTGAATCTACACTACCTGAGGATGCATCCATATAAATATGAGCAATTATGGCTTTGCTATTCTTGAGAAGATTTTTAAAGAGTTTTCCTATATATTTCTATATAAAACTTTGGTCGGTCATTGTGGCCCTGCCCTACCCCAGGGGGTCACGATTTGAACAAACTTGAATCTACACTACCTGGGGATGCTTCCATATAAATATGAGCAATTATGGCTCTGCTGTTCTTGAGAAGAAGATTTTTAAAGAATTTTCCTTTTCCTATATATTTCTATATAAAACTTTGGTCGGTCATTGTGGCCCTGCCCTACCCCCGGGGGTCATGATTTGAACAAACTTGAATCTACACTACCTGGGGATGCTTCCATATAAATATGAGCAATTATGGCTCTGCCGTTCTTGAGAAGAAGATTTTTAAAGAATTTTCCTATATTTTTCTATATAAAACTTTGGTCAGCCATTGTGGCCCCGCCCTACCCCCGGGGGTCATGATTTGAACAAACTTGAATCTACACTACCTGGGGATGCTTCCATATAAATATGAGCAATTATGGCTCTGCTGTTCTTGAGAAGAAGATTTTTAAAGAATTTTCCTATATATTTCTATATAAAACTTTGGTCGGTCATTGTGGCCCCGCCCTACCCCCGGGGGTCACGATTTGAACAAATTTGAATCTACACTACCTGGGGATGCTTCCATATAAATATGAGCAATTATGGCTCTGCTGTTCTTGAGAAGAAGATTTTTAAAGAATTTTCCTATATTTTTCTATATAAAACTTTGGTCGGCCATTGTGGCCCCGCTCTACCCCCGGGGGACATGATTTGAACAAATTTAAATCTACACTACCTGAGGATGTTTCCCCTTAAGTTTCATCTTTCCTGGCACAGTGGTTCTTGAGAAGAAGATTTTTAAAACATACCACCAAATTTTCACTAATTCTCAATTATCTCCCCTTGAATGAGGGCAAGGCCCTTTATTTGAATAAACTTGAATTCCCTTCACCCAAGGATACTTTGTGGCAAGTTTGGTCAAAATTGGCCCAGCGGTTCTTGAGAAGAAGTCGAAAATGTGAAAAGTTTACAGACAGACGGACAGACAGACAGACGGACGCCGGACAAAATGTGATCAGAAAAGCTCACTTGAGCCTTCGGCTCAGGTGAGCTAAAAAAATGAATAAATAGTTACAAAAAAAAATTTAATTTTTAAAAATTATTTTCTTTAACAAGATTTATCATTATACCTATTGAAAAGACATTGTTCTATTGGATATGAATTTAATTCAATAACAGTTTTTGAAAAACCTATGACATCATAGAAAGATGGAAATACATTATGATTTGAACATATTTTATTTTGCAATGAATACATAAATGGATTTATTTAAAACATTATAAGCACCTGTACTACTCAAAAGTACCTCATACATGTACATGTATCTTGAGAGATGACAATGTGAAATTACGTTAAATTATGAAAATTATGAAAATGCACATTCTTTTCTTATAAAGTTTTTCTAGGGGACAGAATTTATTTTTGCAGAAGAATTGATGAGACAGCAATGTATGTTGTATTATTTGATATTTAGTAAAATATCATAGTCTTGTATTTGTACATGCATAATGGATTCCATTAACACTGATTAAGATTTCAAATCCAACCTAATAACAAATGAATGATAAATGAAGAAAAAATAAAGAGGAACAAACACTTGCCTAGATTTGTTAAATCTTCTTTCAGTTGTGATGCAGTCAGACTCTTTCTCAAAGCACCTGAAAAAAAAAACAAATGTTTAGAATAATTTCTCTGGAAAATAACATTAAATGGAGAGCATGAAATTAATATATCAATTTTTAAAATGTTTTATTTCATTTTTTAAGTCAAACCTATCTGAGCAACTCATTGACACCCTGATTCATATACAGACAAACCTCATTATCTCAAACTAAATGGGGCCGAAAACATCCAGCTATTGGAACATTCAAGGTTACATGTAAATACTTAAAGAATATTAAGTAGCTGGGACTTCCAAATCACTTGGACATATATATGGTATTTGAAATACTGTGGTTCTGCATATGATATACCAAATTTCAACTAGATATAGAATCAGAGTTACCCATCAATAAAATCCTTAATAACAATAAGCTGATATTTTCTACATACTATTGCTGAATGAGAGTAAACTTTTGAATATATTTTTCAGGCCTGTAGCATTCACTCCATTTTCCTCAGCAAATCCCTCCAGCTGTTCCATCAATCGGGAAGACTGAAAATATATTACAGGTCTATTATTCCAATTCTCACATTTACAATTCAAATGAAAGCAATATAGTCAAGCCTAAATATGCCAGATGCCAATTATGCAGATTTTTTTACCTTCCACATTTTCCAAATGAATACTGTGTATTGTGAATAAAACAATATTTACCAGTCATGAAAAGTATATATCCAGATGTTTTATTTAATTATTCTAACACAAGCCACAACAAAACAAGTGTAAGAATTAAGGAGACTCAACTGCTCTAATGTTTTTCATTTTAAGAACTTAAAACTTAATTCAAAATGTCATATTCCATTCGACTTTTCATATTAAATTTTCCTATTTCAAAAACATTACCTTCCCAGGATCAGCAAGAAATTCAAAACCATATTCCAATAGCTGTTTGAATTGCTATAATTGGAAAGAAAAAACAAATTATGCCATGGTTCAGTATAGCTAGCTGAATAATATTCCTGATCATTAAGTTCTTGAGAATTTTATGGTTATTTTCAGTGCAACTCCTATCTATATGTATTCTTAAGATTTTGTGACACATATCTAGACCAGCTTTGTTTTGCTACATTTGCACTGTATGTACAGGGGCATTCTCTATTACATATATGCGGGAAGTTTCTAGTATGCCAGTCCCCAGAATCACGCGATTGCGCATGAGCAGTTATTTCCCTTGCCGTTGCTATGCAGAATGTAAACAAACCGCAATTTCCCACTCGCTTCAACAAAACGCATCCGATCGAGTGATTAGGGTTAGGTTATATAGGCCTATTTTTCAAAATTGGGGTTGTTTTATAAATCCACTCTGTAGGCTAATCTTTCTGACTTTGGTCTAATTTATGTAATTTTTGCTCACAAAAGGCACTATGAGTGCCTTTAGTGATCAAAAACTTGCATGAATCAGCCTGTTGAATTGGCCGATATCTTACACTTTGGTTTAGTTTATAAAAAATTTTTCCTTTACAAAGAACAGGAAACAGGGCTCTCACACCACTTTTTGGGACTGGGGCTGGGGCCGTTCAAATTGGGAAAATTATCGTCATTTTGGGAAAAGTTGGATAACCAAATTTCATTTTAAAAAATCCTCAAATTTTGCTTTTCTAGCATTTTGTCATCAATTTTACGTTTTGAATAAACAGTTAAAGAGAACAAACATGGGTACGTAGGCTATTTATGAAAGTACATTTATTTAGCTTTGTCATTGCTATCTTTGAGTGTTGATATTGCGGTTAGGTGTTTTTCTGAGTGACAGTCGCTAGTCACATATTCCTGAATTTCCTCGATCACATTCACAACTTTGCTTACCAATACAGCGCGAGACTGAACATGCCAAAGCGTGTGTATGTTTCTAGGTGCAGCTTACTAATGTTTAAGTGAAATTTCTATTTTTGAAACCAAAATGTTGTTTTTTGTCGAAACTACATAAGATACTCTGCACTCATAATTATGAACACATTTTTGTAAAAACAATAACCTGGTTCCCTGAAACAGTTTAGGAATGCATTTGGATCGAACTAATAAAATAGTAGTACAGTTTCACTTTCATTTGCGAGTGTGTTTTGTTTGGGGTGTTTTTTTTTGCGATTAAGTTTCATGGAGTTTTATTTTTTGATTAATATTTTGCTATGGAGATTGGGAAATTTACACCTTTCTTTTGGGAAAAAAGGTACCTTTTTTGCATTAGGAACGGGGCCGAATATCGGCCCCAGATTTAGAGAATCGAGAGCCCTGGGAAAGTTTAAGAAATGAAAGTTCGGGTAAATCAACTCTATTGTCGAAACATGACAATTTTCAGCGCTGAGTTTAGGCAAGTTATTGTAAAAGCGACTTACCGTTAACTGCAGCTCGATATCCTTACCTCCTATCAAATCATGTCCAAATATTCAGAATATTTTTCCTTTCAAATCGATAATGATGCACAATTCAATCCATCGATGATTAGTAATTAGCTAACATTTGTTAAATCCCTGTATTTCTCACAAAAATCGCGCAATTTTAATAGCATTGCACTTTGAGTCCAATCAGGCATTTCTTCATTACGTCAAAACACAAGTGACGCATCTCATGAATATTTATGAGATTACGTCAAAAATTGATCATGTGACAACATTCCTAAACAACGCAAGATGGAGATTTACTTCCTAAACAAGTACGTTATTTTACGAAATCTCTTAATTCTCATTTATAAAACTGTGTTTAAAAACCAGTTTTTTAAACCCAATTTTTCACAAGGAACACAAATTTGGGGTCAAATTTGCAATTTGTGGCTTCTTTTTCAATTTTGTCGATCGCTCACGCGATCGTCTATATATTGTACACCGCCTTCGGCGGCACCTATTTTAGCGCCATATTTATGGGGATCGGTATACTAGAAGTGTACATGTTAGTCACGTATATGCTTCTATCATTACAACTTGACCATTTCTGTAACCACAATTTGTTTCGGGTACAGAAAAGGTCAGGGTTCGACACTAACGGTAGCCCGCTGGCCCGGGACAACTGAATATTGAGGTTGGGCTACTAAACATGTCTTTAAACTTGCCCTGCAGGGCTACTGTAAATTTTACCAAACACTCAGACTAGTCAGAGCAACAAAAAATAATTATAATTTATACACAATGTACCTGATAGTTGTTAAATTAATTTTATTTTCAAATATATGTTTTAAATTATCATCATACCGGTAATTATTATTTTTGTAAGTCAAATTCAAAATGTAAACTTTAAAGGTGAATCCAAATACCTTTAATGATTATAAATGTGGAATTTTTTGAATAGAAAAATGTCATAGGTACAATCATAAAGTGACATAATTTTTACCTAAAAAACAGCCAGAATGCAGAATTTGGCATCTCTATTTTCCAAATTTCCCGGGGGAGGCCCCCCGTACCCCCACCAGTGAGAGGGGGAAGCCCCCTCCAGCACCTACCCCCCTCGTCGCTTCATGACTCAGCCACCAGCTTTCGGACGACTGCTGGACTGCTGGCTGCTGGACGACTAATACATGAACAGGGCTAGTAGAAATTAGAAATGGCTCGCCCTGCTGACAACTATGGTTTTAAAGTTAGTGTCGATCCCTGAAGGTGTGTGATCGAAGTTATACTTGTATATGATTGGATTTGTATAACAGAGAATACATAAGAAGATGCCCTTGTTCTGTATGGAATGTATTTTAAGTATCAATATTCATCAACTTAAAAACCTTGGTTTATTCCCCCGTCCATAATGATATGTACATTACACAAAGGGGTCTTTTTTTACTGACCATAGCTAACGTCTCAGCACGGGGGCTCGTGACAATTAAACTGTCTTCTTTCTATTTGACCACCCAGAGTGACCCTATACTGTATGATCAAATAGAAAGAAGGCAAATTAATAGTGAAGAGCCCCTGGATACAAGCGTTGGCTGTTGATGAGTTACCCTGGTCATATTTTACAGTAGCATCCGCCAGACATGAAGTTAGGTAATGTTTAGAAAATTGATCAGAAATAAATATTTTCTTAGCTTACCTTATTCTGAAACTTATTCAGCGTCTGGAAATCGGTAAAAATTGATTCTGGGGGTGTTTCCCGACTAAAGTGAAAGTTGGTCGCCATTGTTGCGAGGATGATTTTAGGAGATCGATCCCGATGGAATATATGTAGTGCTGCAGGCTGTGTAGAATGAGCCAGTCCTTGTTTTAGATTTAGAGAAATTACATGTATGCTTTCAAAATTTTTAATGGCAAATTACATTCAAAATTTTTGATTTAGACAATCTCTTGTTTTCATAATTATAATTTTTGGGGTAGATAAAAATTGAATTTTAAAAATGTATTAATTTTAAAAAGAAAGTTACCCTTTAGTATAGCGTTGATGTTTTCACTATTTCTAGCCATGTACAACTCCGTTAACAAGATCACGGCCACATGCAGATGGGGGGGGGGGGGGGTGCACGATACTCAGTTAAATTGTTTGATTTTACGCTTAACATGCAAAAAACTTACAATATATTAAACATGTTAAAAGGTAGAAAATATAATTTCAAACTACTGTAACATTAATTTTTATTCATGATTCATCTGTAGATTGCACTTTTAGAATAATATTTTTTTGTTGTTATTGCTTACAGTTTTAACATATCAGTAAGTGATAGTATGAAAGAGGTCCTTCTCATTCGGCCGTTTTATTTTAAAAGCAAGGTCAGGTCAACATGGTCAAGGTTATTATCTTCGTCATTGCAATACCATCGTCGAAACCCAAGATTTTCTCTCTGTTGCGGTGTAAATCCATGGGTTCCCAAGATGTATTAATACAAAATATACTCGTACAGGGGATTACGTAAAATACAAGTATTTTACTACATGTACACTGTAGTCTCTGTGCACTACATTGGAAATGAAAGTTCACTCTCTGCTGTTACCCTAATAGTCTATAAATATGTCAAAACCTTATTTTCTGATTGCAGCTAACCCAACAGTAGAATTTAGAAACAAGGAATTAATATCATCACACATCTTAAATAAGAAAAAAGGCTTACTTTATATATGTACCTGAGTGTACAAGAAAACTTAAAGATGATTGATATGTACATTTTTTGAATTACTAAGTATATGTAATAGCGTATTTGTCTTGAAAAGAAATTTTTTAAGAAGTCAACATGGTCAAGACTTTCATTTTGAACTCCTGATAGCTTTTGTCGCTTTTTATTAATTAGTGTCTATTGTGTATGCTTTTTCCAACCATGAATTATTTCACTATCAGGACAATTTGTCTTAATGTATATTTCATTTTGTTCTGCATTTGAAATATACTCTTTTAAATGTTTGAATTCATCAGGAATTTCAAGTCCGCCATATTGTTTTCCAGCAACCATGACATGACGCAATTTAGGGAGAAACATACAGTCTATCTCACAGAGGCGATCACCCAGCAAGAACTTTCCTTTATGGTCAGCGCTTCCTAAATAAGTATCCACTTTCTTTAACTCTGACAGCAGATTTTGTCTCAGTATATCTGTTTGGGAGGGGTCCTTGTTTTTTATAAGAGCGGCCAGTTTAGGGAATACACCCGAGCAAGCATCGAGAGCCGGGCCGCTGTAATCTTGTTGACAGTCCAAATCTGGAAATTGTTCATGAAGGTACCTGGTTATTTCTGCAGAATCAGAGATGATTTTGTTGTCTTTCGTTCGGTCAATCAGCACTGGGACTTTTGCTTCGGGATTAAGTCTGAGGAAATCCTCGGGTTTATTGCTAAGGTCTACAGGTTTTATTTCCAGTTCTTTATTTGGTACTTTGAGGCCCGCATACATCATCACTCTCTGTGAAAACGGACAGTCGCCGACATTTTCTCCGTCACTGGCCGCCTTTACGTATAGAAGAAACCGTGGACCGGCACTCATTTTTCTGGAAAATATAATCATGATTTTTGTTAGTATTTATTAATCATAGTCGAGCCTTTTTAATTTAAACTAACAAAGCTAGTAAAATGACCGACCATTGGGCTTTAGGGTTCTTTATGTTTATATATAACAATAAAATACAATTTTGTAATAACCTGATTTGTATTTTAAAATTTTGAGACAAAACGAAGAACTTTAACTGAAAAAAGATTCACGCCCTAGGACTGTGTACAATCGCCCATTATTGGAAGATTTCACCAATAGGCATCCATAATCAAAGCTTCTAAATTTTCACCGCTTCTAATATCCTAAATAGCTACGTATGTAGTTGTTTGTTCATTTTATAATTTGTCCCCAATGTTGTCACCGCAAGTGTCAAGACGATACATCATATGTACAAACATGTACACAGAGAATATTCAATGGTTACAGTTGAAAATCAAATTTATTTCATGGGTGGGATAGGTTCTTTATAAAGAATAAAATATTCCCATGACTGGCTGATACAAGCGAAAACTCTCGATATGTTTGGTAATTTTGTAAACAAGTTCTATACAGTAAAATTTTTGTGTAAAAGTGAAATAAATTCCTTACATGTGTTTAAATTAATTAATTTTACCTCATCCATGGACCAAAATCTGGTACAAGTGGGACTGAGAGGTGAAAGCTCTCTTACATGTATACTTATATTTCAGACTAAGACAAAGGCCACCACTGATACAAATTACGTGCCAAATATTTTAACAAACCAAAAGTAAGTGAAGATTACGTGTTGTACATCTCTTTACGACAGAGCTTATGTATATTTGTACATATATCAACATGAAGCCTCAAGTCAACATAAGGTTGAGCTTTTTTTTTATGCCTTAAATATTTTGTGTAAGTGAAATTCCTTTATTGTATATATAGGATATTTCCAATATTATATATGGGCTATCATATTTAATTAAACCATGATTTTTTTTAGTCTAAATAGAATTTTATGTAAAAGGTTTTTATTTATATATAATAATAAATAAATAAAATATAACAAAATAACAAAATAAATAATGAGATAGACCTAAAGAAATAAAAACACAACTTTCAAGTTAGGAAAATAAAGAGATATTGCATAAATATTAATTCAAATGTTCAAAATGTTAATTTTGTTATTTTTATTTACTGTTGAGTATTGAATTGAATTGTAGAATTCACTAAAGATGTTACCAATATTTAAAATAAAAAAAGTTGATAATAAGCATTTGAATAGAATGGGCCGTGGTCTAAATCAACTTTCTTGATACATTCATTACTGTATATATACTGAGAATTTATCAGATATGGCAGTTTTCTGTTCTTGCCGTTAATTTTTTTTTTTAATTTTTATTATTATTTTATTTTTTTTTTCTCATCATGGTAAGTTGATTTTTATACCTCCTTCGAAGAAGGGAGGGCATAGTTATTGCTTTGCTGCTGTCTGTCGGTCGGTCTGGCGGTCCACTAAGCATGCTAAGTTTCCGTTCATTTTCTGCAAAGCCGTTTCAGATGAATATTTAGGTCAAGTTCTGTTTTGGGTACGTTCGCGCCATAGAAAAATTCCAATTCTTCGCAGTTTCTGTTCATTTTCTTTACAACAGCTGCATATACTGACATGAAATTTAGTATACAGATTTATCAGATGAATTACTAGATCAAGTTCTGTTTTGTACATACTGAAATGAAATTTGGTATGCAGATTTTTCGCATGAATTTCTAGGTCAAGATCTGTTTCGGGCACAATCGCGCCATTTTTGACAGATTTATGATTTATGCCAATTTGGACTTTGCAAAATTCCAATTATTTGCAGTATCCGTTCATTTAATTTGTTCGCAGAGGTTGCACACACTGAAATGAAATATGAAATTTGGTATACAGATTAATCAGATGAATATCTAGCTTAAGTTCTGTTTTGGGTTCTGGTAAATCTAAACATCTATTGTTATTTGCATGTGGGAATAGGTGGAATTGAGATTTTCAAAAAGTGGGAATAGCTAGAAGACACCAATCGCGCCATTTTTGAGAGATTTATGCCCCTTTCACTTGGAACAATTCCAATTTGGGGGAGGGGACATAAGTGTTTTACAAACATCTCTTGTTTTTAGTTGATTTTATTCCAAACAGAACTGCGTGTGCACATAAATTTTGATTTTACAAATCGTTTAAATTAGAGTTTACCCAAATGTTTCATTTGTTTCAAAATGATAGCATTGATTTTTCATGCAGGGTTTATACAATCATGTATATATACGTCAGTTTGATTAGGGATTGGCTGAACACATTAATTTTTATAGCAATTTATTAGAAAGCTTGTTCACGATTAAACATATAGCGTACACTTAAAAATAAATAAAATTGGGACTCAATCCCTAATAAAAATATCTGGATATAAATTGCTGGAGGGTTTTCAGAAAATATGAGAAAATTTGAGTACAATGTACATGTAAATCAACTTTTTAAAAAGTTTTGAAAGATCTAGATACAGTAACAATTACAAGGCATCTAACGTCCATGCAATACTTTTGTATTTCCTGATGAAATTTCAAATATTTTATTTGTATTTTGAGAATTCAATCCTAGGAAGAGACAAAAGTAACATACATTTAAAAAAAAAAGATGAACCATGCAAGTCGTAAAGAATTTTTTTTAAAAAGTGCATCATGTTAACTTTCATGGATACAATGTACGTGTTTCTGATTATTTTCTCTCGACGAAACACATTTAAACAAAGCCATTTTCGTTTTCTTTTTTCTTCTTGTGACATGACCCGGCGAGTTTTCCTTTGAAGTCAAGCATACTGTAACTGCGATACAGAACACTTTTTATGGGCGTTTCTTATGCAAATGAGCAGAAACTGTACTGTATCTGTAAAATATCAACTATACAGTACGGTTTATTTTCAGCGATGATGGAAAGCTGTATCCGCATACAGACATAACAATTGTTCAATTTGCATGAAAGCACTGTTAGTATTTACTCAAAATTGGATGCGCATGAATTAAGAATAAAATTTTACACGTAAAGTTTTTTTCAAAAATTTTAGAAAGGAGTGAGGAGGGCAGTTAACAAATTATTACTTTGCCCCCCCCCCCCCCCCCATCTTATAAACCTGGAAAAATCGTATTTCTTATCATATATTAACCAAGATATGCGTGATACCGTTACTTGTTGATAAATCAAAAAGCGTATGTATACAAGTTTAGCAAAAATAAAACAGCTGTAAAATAAAGAGATTATCATGTTTCCTTTGGTTACTCAACATTTTATTAAAAACAAAAAGGTATATAAAATCCCCATTTCTTTTCATCTGTTTTTTTTTTTCAATTTTATATCGGTATTTGACAACCGGTGGAGGACATTGTCGGACATTTCTCTCAGAATACGGTCTCCCCTTTTTGTTTCAAAAATATTCCCACATGATTCTAGATCTTATATATCAAAATGTTTTCATTCATTAATTACATAGGATGGAATGGCCTGACTGTAGTGCAAAAAACTTTCGCATATACTGGTGTTGAATTAAATCGTAGGTTAAATTTAAAAAAAAAAATGTCTGACAGCAAGAGCTGAATAGAGAAAAAAAAAACCCTACGCAATCAAATCTAAATTAATTTTTTGGAAAACAAATTCTATAATGCATCTCATAATTCTAAATATTTTAAAATAATAAGTACCTGCACGTCCACCTCACTCGGCATTTCAGTGGCGAATGCTTAAAATGGGATACGTAATCAACTTTGTACAAAATCATCTCATTGGTTGAGAGATATGTACCCAAATACGCATGTAAATTAGTTAGGTCATTAGAAAGGTCATGTCACAAGTCATTTAGAATACTCGTTTCCTACTGTATCAGAGATACAGGGCGGGGCCCGGGAGCTATCGCTCTCGCCTCAAGCCCCGCCCTGTATCTCTGATACAGTAGGAAACTCGTACTCTAAATATAACTTATGTTTTATGCTTTTTTGTTTGTTTCTCTTTCATATTTTACCTTTACTGGCCCTATTCAAAAAAAATTCATTGATACATGTATATTCATGACTGTATAGTTCCTCTAAATATTTTTCATGCAAGATTTTTTTTAATGCATGCGAAACAAGTGGGAGGGAAAAGGGTGTATCTTATGATTTATAAACCTAATTAATATTATAATTATCATATATTGATATAAGTATAAAGATTAATCTTGTAATTAAAATCACGATTGTGCTTCATGTAAAACAGCTGTAAAATAAAGAGATTATCATGTTTCCTTTCCATTACGCAATATTAAGTACATCTAACTAAAACTTTAAAACTTATCATGCAGGCGTGTCGGCTCCCTGGTTTGTTACACCTGTCAGAGAAACGAGATTTAAATCTGTCACTAAGACACCTTTAATAATAAAACGACCCCCGACAAGGACGATCCGACCGTGAAATGCTTGTATCTCGTATATAATTCCGGTGAGAAAATGGGACATAATGAAAACATTTTATGGGATCCTAAATTCATAGATCCGCCCCAAATGTGTAATCTCGTTAAAGATAATTAACGTGATCAACGTTGTGTCTCTTAATGTAATGCAGGATGTAACTACATGTGTACAAAATTGATAATGTAATAATCATCCGGGACAAAACGTCATTAGGGATGTTTACTTCAGATTGTAAACAGACAAAGGGGATTCGTTAGTTGCAAAGGTGTTCGGTTTCTTTTTTGTACTTTCTACATGGGAACCACAGACATATTTGCCGTTTTAGGATTGCTATCGTATCTAGGTAGGTAGCGATTTCTGATATATTCTTGTATTTTGTTAATTTCATTTTGGCCTTAGGTATGTTTACCTATCTTTAATGGTGTCTAATCTGACAATATTCATAAATCAAACGGGGTTGTTTACATTAACATCTTCACTTTGTTGTTATATTAATTCAAAGGCACCTGGCGTGAATAATTTTTCTTTATGTAAAAAATAAATAAACTCCTATCCAACAATTCTTAGGTAGGGGATTTATTTTTTGTGAAAAGAAAAAAATAGTAATGGGTGCCTGTGGATATATTATATGCTATTTTAAACTTAATTGCAGAATCCAAATTAGAACTAAAAGAAAAGATGAAAAAAAATATAATAAATGTTAATATTTATTTTATCATATTTAAGAGAATAGCAAATAATATCCAAATATAATTGCTAAAAGTGGGTAACTTTTACAATAACATTCTTCTTGAAATTTAATACACTTTACCAGGCGGGGTAGTGAGAAGTGCCAAAAACGAAGTCTCAGACTCAGTGTTAAGAAATGGTGATAAATAAAATTATTATAATGCCTAGACTGGTTTAGATTTTGGGACCTAATATAGTTGTAAATGATGCACATATTACATTTATAAAAATTTTACGACACTGTAAACTTTCTTCCCTATTCAAACCATAACTTTCTGCAAATATTCCTAATAATCTAATGTGCAATTTTTTAGGTAATTCCATCAACCTCTCTCCTATAATTATGACGAAAATTAGACAGTTATACTCTCTCTCTCTCTCTCTCTGAATCTATTACTCACTGGTCTAAAAAAAAAAAGCCTTAATCATATGGATTATCATATTAGATTTTTTTAAATAACGGAATGCATGAGTAGATTTAATTTCCTCAGTACTGTAGGGTAAAGATAAGTTTTAAATTTAAGGAAGTGAAACTTAAGCGTTTAATATTAGGCAGATACTTGAAAATCGCTTCCCTCTACGTTGTTGCAAACTTGGAATTTATAACATTTATTGATAGACTACTTTAAGTTTTGTATCTACGATACAGAACCCGTTTCGGTCTCTAAATAATACTTTAAAAAAGAAAAATTAGTAGCGTCGGGTGCCTGTGCGTGTATTATATATACTTACGATTGAAAATAATACGATCTTGACGCAATTCTTGTGATGTTGATAAATTTACACCATCATTGATCATGATTCATGACCATTGTACATAACGTGAATATGGCATACCATCATATTTCATTTTTAGATAACAATGATAAATTAGGAAAGACATATCGTATAATTTCCTCTATAAAAGTTGTTCAGGATAAATTACAGAGTTTTTAGATAAGAAAAGTCTCACAACTTACACACAATTTATCTATTTCCGCGTTTGATCTGAGTAAGGTTTGAATGCTGTTTTATGCGTACGTTACCTAGACATTAGGTGTTCGGCCTTTTTATTGTACAATAACCAGAAACCGTAAAATTGACATTTAATGATCTCACGAGAACACATTATTAATTAGACAGTAATAAACTGTCATCTTGATTAGGTAATAGATTTAGTACGTCGTGCTTACTGCCCAGTTCTATCTAAAATAATTCATTTATACGTGTCTCTTTTCTATTATCTTTCAAAATATGAGCAGTAAGAGTTTGTATTACATGCACATTGTAATTATCTACGTTATGTTTAATAATGTCTGTTTGCAAGATATATTGTACAAATGCATCTTGGTGGGAAAATACATGTCTTTTTAAATTTTACAACTGGGACCGACAAAGGTTCTTAAAATTTAAAACGCCCTTTCTCTATATATACACGTGGATTATCTTGAGCATTTTAACATAATATTATATGATTCACGAAAAGCGCAGAAAGAAGGATCATATTATTATTAATTTCTTTACAGGACAAATTTTTGGTTGCCCTTGGGCAATTTCAAGTCAAGGATTTTAATTTGCCCAAAAACATGCATAAATATTGAAGACAGGCAAATGCGCTCACTGTTATATATTAAGTCTTTTACACATGCCTTTAGATCGCTTAGAAAAAAATTGAGGTGTTAAAAAATATCTTTTTTTACACACACATTTTTAAGCGATCCAAAGGCCTGTGGTCTTTAATACAAAAAAGTGCATGATGTATGTATTTCATTTTACTAGCATTTTAGACACTATATTTACACGTACTATTATAATGTAATATTGAGCTTTGCATTTTTAAATTAAATATCAAATACTATTGAAAGCTTTCATTTCTCAAGAGCCCTTAGAACAGTTTCCTCAAAGAATTCTAATTCCATGCTATTTTTCAAAATATTTATGATACTGCAGTTAGACCTTTCTGCCCCTGGTCTATGATAAAATAAATGAAATCTAAAACTTGCTCGATTTGCAACCGTGTAGATTACCATTTGAGACATTTCATTTGGATAAGATGTATTAATTGAACACTATCTTATTAACACATACCTCTTAGCAACAATGATGTACATTTACTTAGAGGTAAATGACATAATATATCCTATACTGAAAATTAAAACATTTCCATATTTATTTCTTTTATAAATCAGGTGCAGGTGTCGGGTCCTACATGTACGTAGAACCCCACTTGCTTTATTGACGCAAATACAATGATGGACAATGTTATAAACCTGAACTAGACAATGAATTAAAAGTATATTGATCTTGAAATTAATCGCAATATTCTTTTTCTTTAATCTAATTTTAGTTGATGTAACCACCGGCGCCATTTGTACGCATGCGTACATACAGAGTTACTACATCTCCGGAAGAATACGATACCGGAAGCGATACACAGATATCTACTGCTCAGATAGCTGCTGCGGTGATATCAATTCACAATATTGCTGTGACTTCATCCAAGGCCAAAACACGTAATTATATCATTATATTACACTTATATATAACTGTACGATATGAAGCTAACGATTAATATTTCAAGAGTGGAGAAAAACTAAAAATGACAGGGCGAATAAATAAATAATGCTATATACTTTGTTCATCGGGCGTAATAACATACATGTAACTGAGACAGAAAATTTACTAAAAATATAAGATATTCATCTATCTAACTACACTGTATATTAACTTCACTTTTTGAAGCGAAATACACTTTAAATTTGGTTAAATATTAAAAGAACTTGTTTGCATTAATTAAGTACATGTACCATTTGTATAATATTTTATCACCTAAATAAATAATAAAAAAGAAAGATAATCTTTTTTCAATATTTACTTCAAATTAAAAAAACCGTTTTGTGTTACTGAAGCCTACCTTACAATTCATATTCAGAACAAATTTTATTATCATTAAAAATAAAATCTTAGGACGTCAATCATGTGTACATGTACGTGAAATATTTACTTGTATTATTTGCAATCTTTAACATTTTGAACGCCATTGATAAGAAACAACATGAAAATCAAAGGAGAAAATTTTGTTTCTCTCAACATTTTTACAAATTGTTTTTGAGATATGTTTATTTTATATACATTTTCTTAATGTGTTATTGAAACACTGATAAAGTATCATATTATACTTTCATGTAAATTAGTCAAATCGGATTCGTCAAGAAACATTTGTTAAAAACACTGCATGTAGATTACTTTCTTAATTATGAAACAACCCTCCAGTGTGGAAACATAATGATTAAATAGCAGTCAACATTGCTTGACTACGGGTAATATTCAAAACAATATTGACTCCGCTCAGGATTAATTAGTAATGTGCGCCCCGTTGAGTGTTATATATTTGAATAAAACATGCAATTTAATATAATACATATTGCAAGTAGTCGATGGTAACGTTTAAAATTTCAACCATCTATAACCAATTTCAACATCGACTTTACCTCGGTTGACAATGCTTTTCTTTAAATGAAAATTTTTCATGGATTTTTTTTAAATAAAATATTATTTCATGCAACTCATAAAATAGTATATTAAAAGCCCCCAATAACGTATCCTGAATGACTTGAATTTTTATTGTTAACAATTCTAACAGAAAAAATTGTTTTTAAAAAAAATCTTTTTTCAGCTTTTATCAAGACGTGTATCTACAGTAAAACATGTTTGAACTGAAGTGTATTATATACAATACAACGATCTTCTTCGTGAAGAGTAGAATTCTTACCCCTTTGTCTACATTTCAATGCAAACTTTTCCTTTTTATAGCAGTATACAGTTTACTTTGCTTATCATTATGATTGTGATTTCAGATCGGTGAGTGAGATAGTCGGTATTGTTATAGGAACATTGACAGGATGCCTGGTGTTGCTGTTCTTCTGTGTTTGTGTCTGGCTGGCTACGTCAAAACAGCGCCGAGACAACAGGCAGGGAGGACCAAACGTACCGCACATTAGTGGAAGTAAGTCTGATATGTATCAAATATATTGTATTGGAGCATCCCCTTAACCCCCCCCATCTTTCTGATACAACCTCCTTTTTAGTACAAGGAATGTACGCTCTGAGGGTATGAGTTAAAAACATAAACTACTAGTATTCTTTTCATATATCTTTTTTACAATACAAACTTACAAATTACAATCGATTCATGACTCTTTTTAAGTATTTAGTGAGTTACCCTTTAAATTTGCAAAAAGATAGTTGAATTCTTAATCACATGTATTTTTAGATTTACGGCGCAGTACACAAGGTGACATAAGTCTGCCTCCTACCTACGAGGAGACGGTATTAGGTTATGAAAATGATGGCTTCTCCCCGGAATGGTACTCCCAGCCACCTTCATACAACGACGTATTTAGTGACGAGACTCTTAAAAGAGAACGAGATACGGAATATTTTCCCGCAGATCCGAACGTAAGCAGTCAACAAAGTGTTAGTCATCCGGCCATTCGGAACACAGACGTTTACGTTAACACCAGTGAAATCTCGCGAGATTTTAATAGGTCCGAGAGTGTGACTTCAGATTCTATATTGTTGCAATACAACAGAGAAAATGATAGTATAATTACAGATATTAATGTTGACCAAGTAGACAGTGAAACAGAGAGGACTGAGGTATGTGAAAGTTCAGCAGTGGCAGTGACAGAACCTCGAAGTTCTAGTATAGTATAGGCTGATATTTTGAGGGTATAATCGCTTTACTGAATGGAGAAAAAATATCCTTTAGGGTTTAGGCATTTTCTAGCCCCATGGGACCTGATAAACGAATCTGATTTGTCTGTGATATACATTTAAAAACTTTATCTCAATTTATGTTTTCACGCATAATCATATTTTAAATTATTTATAACAGCAGAATAAACTATGAAGTCATAATGAAGCGTTAATTATCCCCTCCCAACAGAGTTGGAAGGGATGTGGTAACTTGCTTGTCTTTGTGTGTCTTCTTTCTTGGTTTTAGTACGGTAACAAAACAGTGGATTATAATATTCTTTTTTCAGCTATATAGCTGAATATAAGAATATAAGAATATTTTTACCTATTCATTTCAAATAAGTTTTATTAAGTACAATATCTGTAAAAAAAAAAAAAAAAGGCAACGACAGAGCAATTTGTAAAAAGCAATTTGTAGTTCAAAGTTGTTTTGCCAGAAATTAGTCAAATCTTGTGGTTTGAACATACTTTATTGCACTAAATATATAAAACTAAAATTCTGAAAACTTAAATCGACCCCTCCCTACATGAAATGTCACAACAGGTTGAATTAGAAGTGTCCAACAGTTGGTACAGAATAAATTACTAGTAACTAAAATTAACTCACAATGTAGACATATACGAGGGCTGTGCAATAAGTAATGTCCCGAGCTCTATGACACACAAAATAGAAATCCTATGACATAAGCTTGACTTTTTCTCATGATTGAATCATTAATGAACTGATTCCAGTTTATATGACTTTTCACCACATAGTTTCACTATGAGAAGCTAGAAAACAAGGGTTATTTGAAACAATGCATCATAAATGAATGGTAAAGAGTCAGTAAACTAGAGTGAAATTAAACGCTTCATGAAAGCTTCTGTTAAACTCGTTAGGAATCCCAAAGAAATATTTACTTAAGAAATAAGGTATCATTTTTTGAGGTTTTTTTTGGTAGATGTAGACAAAAAGAACAGACAAGTTTGGATAGAAATGTGATCAAATAGTTCATAAAGCCCAAGGGCTTAACTTTGGAAGATTTGATCATGTGCCAACCCGTTTTACATCCCAATAAAACTGAAAAAATGATATCTTATTACTTATATTTACATTTGTGCCTGATTTATTACAAATAGTAAGGTACTTAAGTAAAGTTTGAAATCCATAAAGTTTTTTTTATCTCAAAACTCAACAGTGTAACATGAATGTGTTGATAATGTCGATCGCTTAACGTCACTATGAAATGACGTAGATCGCTTATGACTAAAAAATCAATTTATGGTCACATGACGAACTTGTTTTACGGAGATGTAAAAACGCCTTGCTCAAATAGTGTTATATAAGGGAAAACATTTGCAAATGTAAATATTGAAATATGTGAAATTTAAAGCAACCAATGTTTGTTATATTGACAAATGAGCAGGTGGATTTCAATCAACAAAATTGATATAATGGGCATCAATAAATGGATACCGTCCTTGGCGACAAATACTTACAACAACCAATGCACTGTTTGCCAAAATTCAATAAATATCACTGATGATATTTGACTGCCTTTAAGACACAAAGCAAAATTAATAAGCATCATTTTTGGGGTAGTTTACACTGTTTTAAAGAAACGATTAACGGTAAAAAAAGCTTAGTACTTAATGGTCACCCTATATTTTGAAAAATGAGTGAAAACGACAGCGTGTAAGCATATCTAACCAATTTTTTTTAAAAAGTAAAAAATTGTAGTTATCCACATTTGTCTGAAATTCAAACAGATAATGAAACTTGAATCCATTACTTTAAACCCTCAAAACAAATTTACAATAAAATATATGTGACAAAAACAGCCCAGGTCTGAGAATAGCAAAGAATTGCAAGAGCAAAAAAAAGTTTTGTATGCCATTTTCTTAAATATTACTGGTCTTCTTGTTCAAATTCTTATTCAAAGAGGCAGTTCAATTTTTGGAGAACTCTAAAAAGCAAAATTTTTGCAAAAAAATCAAAAGGTTTATGAGAGGAAGGAACCAGAATCAAGAATCCACTATATTAAATTTGTAAGACTCCAAAGTCCGATGGTGACGCCAAAGTCCGATGGTCACGCCAAACCCTAACGCCATCATGGTAATGGCCAAAGTTTTTGCCAAAGGATGGCTCGTTTCCAACAGAAAGTTAATGTTTTGTCACACCAACAATATTCGCCAGATTATTCACACTTTGTCTTGTTTCACTTTCAAACATTTATTTAATAAAACACAATTTAACTGACTTGTCCAGGAAATCATAGACCTTGCCATATTCCAGTATACGAATGGGCCAAACTCGAAGAATGGTGTTCTACAAACAATCAGAAACAGGATAAAAATGTTTACAGACATGTGTTTTAATTAAAAGAGAATATTGAATAAGTAAAATCAACAAAAGACGGAATCGCATTTTTGAAAAACCTTTTTTGTTAATTGTTTTCAGCACCAGGACATTATTTATTGAACAGCCCTCGGACTTTATACTGACCTACATGATTGTTTATACAAATAATTATAAAACTAACGCCATGATGAGTAAAGGAGTTTTGGGGATTAACAGAAAGTTAATGTTTTGTCACACCAACAATATTTGCCAGATTATTCACTTTGTCTTGTTTCACTTTCAAACTTGGAAAAACGCCTTTTAGAAAGAAGAAACGAGTCCAGGAAATCATAGGGTCTGCCATATTCCAGTATACAAAAGACCATAATTATTCAAAAAGTTGTTCTAAAACAATCAGAAACTGGATAAAAATGTTTGACATGTGTTTTATTTAAGTCTAAAATCACTAAAAGAATATAGATCGTTGAAAAACCTTGTATGTTTCTTTCCGAGGACCTAGGACATTTTTTATTGAACAGCCCTCGTATACTGCTACATGATTGTTTATACAAATAATTATAACAAGCAAATTCAAAGAATTGTGGTCCCCCGCTTTCGGTGTCTTTTTGGGTGAGATGTCATTTTTTAACATAAAAATATGATGTGTATCATAAGTCATCTATTTACAAATTATCCCTGAACTCCAAGGTCAAGGTCAAAGGGTTAAGTATCCAATAAGTCTTTTTAAAAGGACTACATATGTGAATATAAAATCTTATTCAAAAGCCATGATCAAGGTTAAAGTTGTGTTCAAGTACAAAATATCTGTAAGGTCAAGGTTGTTGGTATCAAATAAATGGTCTTGCCACAAAGAATACATTTGTGAAATATGCTTCTGTTTTGTGTAAGTTTTACATTTTTGAAAAAAGCTAACTCCAAGGAGGTCCAAGGGGCAAAGTTCTGGTATTCAATAAGGTTTTATCAGAAGAATTATATATATTACTGAAAGTTAGGCCTTAGCATTCAAAAGTTATGGTCAAAATTTGTACCGAAATCTCCAAGGTCAAGGTCAAAAGGTTAAAGTTGTTGGTATCCAATAAAAGGTCTTGCTACAAAGAATAGATATGTGAAATATTAAAGTCCTAGTACCTACCATTCAAAAGTTATGGCCAAAGCAAAAGTATGGAATTTTTGTGTAAAAGTGGGTCAAATCCAATCAAGGTCAAAAGGTCAAATTTGGTGGTACTCAAAGAAAGGTCTTGTCACAAGGAATTCATATGAAATATGAAAGTCATAGCTCCACTAAATCAAAAGTTATGGGCAAGGTTAAAGTTTTTGTGACGGACGGACAGACTGACGGACAGACGGACGGACGGACAGACGAATGAATTTTAATGTCCCCTCGCTTTCGCGAAAGCGGGGGACAAAAATGAGAACAATCAATTAAATCTACCAGAATGCTGAATATAAGAATGTACAATAGAAAACAGATGTTCATTTTCAGCAACACTGAGTGATTAATCCCCCCAGAGTAAACCATGAATGTCAACAATGTGGACTTTATTAAATCTCAAGAACTTATCGAAAAACTCTTTCCTGGCCTCGTTGTAGTTAAGGCAAGAGAAAAAATAATGATGTGTATCTTCTACCTTACCATAGGAGCATAATAAACTAGATATAATGTTACACCTATAAAGATCGACATTTAGCACGCAGTTGTGCCGAAGACAAGTATGCAGTATACTGTTGCGTCTTTTTTCCAAAATTAAAATAAGGCGTAGCTTCTGTTTTGTGTAATTTTACTTTTAAAAAAAAAATTAGCGGCTTTTAAAATATGGAGGACCACAATTTGGAGGGTCAGAGAGTGCAAGGGGTGGAGCCTCTTGTGTTACATGATGTAGGAGGTGGAGCATAATGCTTGTCGTAAATTTAGCACGTGCTTATTAGACCTGTCATCTCGATACCCCGTGAGAACGTGTTAGAGTGTTACATTACCCAAACAATTCAAAAAAATAATTCCCTTGAAGATGAGTGAATGAAACTCAGTTATATCTCCCAACCTGATTTTGTGATGACCAATTGACAGTATCTGAAGACATTTGTTTATAAAGTCCATAAAATACTAAATGAGAAACAAAGAAATGGGAAACTGTAAAAAAAAAAAAAAATAATAATAATGAACACCACATTTCAACGAGGGGAACAGCTTTGCTGATTATTTAATTTTTAAAGATAACAGAGACTGATTGAAACAGAATAGCAACAAAATTATTACCTTTTGGTGATATTATATACAGATATATATAAATATACTGATATGAGAATCAAAATGACCTATAGATATGAGATACAAATGAGGGGCATGCAGCCTGTGCTTTTGATTTAAATTATGTTATGCGATTTTACATGATGCTAAGTGCAATGGAAACTGTCTGATTCACACTGCTATCTCGCAGTAACCCATGAGGTCTTGACAGATTTTATTAGTATAGGTATCAAATATCTGTAGGGCAAAATGTTAAAATTGTTAAGGGCTAGATTACATGTACCTTAACTTCCAGGCAAAGCTAGAAAAACATATATTAGTGCACAGAAGCAAATTTGTCCCCTCATTTGTTGTTTATATAACTCAAAGTCATGTTATCTTTTTTTTGCTAAATTTCATTTTCAGTTGTCATTTAATTGTTTCTTCTTTTTGTGATTTACACATACAGAAGCTTTTGCTGGATTTTCACTAACAGCAATGTGAAATATACTTTTTAATTGATGATAATCTGCAGACAAAGTGATCTGCGATGTGTTATGCCTGACATAATTATCTGCAAT